TCCTTAGATTTTTTCTCTTCCTTAGATTTTCCTTTTGGACCATAGAATTTCCTTAGAAAAGGAAATTTCCTTGAAAATGGAAGCACTGAACATGACCTAAACAAAAGCCAGGTTACAAATGTCCCATATTTTTGGAGTCACATGACCAGTGTTGACCAGGGCCTTTGCTTCCCGTACCAGAGCCTCTGAACCGCGCAAAGGCCCTGGGTACGAGGTTGTGCAAATAGCTGATTTTTCGGGAAAATTGTAACTTTGCGTGAATAGTTAAGGAGCTTAAACTAAACCAAATTGTCTGAAATTTTGTACAGTAATTAAAATCCCGACAAATTTTCCATCTGTTAACTCAAAATATGATTGCAGGTTTTAAATTTTGTGCGCGAGCCATTTTTAATTTGTTGGAAAAGACACCCCCCCCCCCTGGTTCACAAAATTTGAGTTCGAGAAATTTTTCTCATTATTCTACATTATAAGTACCCAAAGAGGCTACATATATAAAAAACCGGATACAAATAGCTGTTTTGCGAAATTGAGAGCAATTTTAATTTTATTTTTTTTATATACACCCTGTAGAGCCTGATACTCAGGTTAGGTTTATAGCAGCATGTACCAGCATTAAATTTATTTGTTGACATGGATTGAATTTATAATTAGTATTTAATTTAATTGTGGGTTCTGTGCTTTTAATTACTCCTCCCCTGGATTTCGAGGCAGCTCTCTCCCCTTGGCAAGTAAAATAAAGCCTTCTGGAGTTTATATACTGTGTGTGCCTGTTTATGTGACAAATTATGGCATGGCTGAACAGGAGGTTTTAATCCAACCTTGCTGAGAAACTTAGCTAGGCAAAACAAGATGGTGTGTGTGTGGCAGGGATGATAGAGTGCTTGTATGAGAATTTCTTGTCTTAGCAGACTGTGGGATCACGGCAATAAATAATGGGATCCCGCCATATGGATCCCGCCTAGGCCAGATAGAGGTAGTCGAATAATTCATTTTACTATAAACCCTCAATATAGTTCATATTGCAAGTGGGATCATGCCAAATTCTATAGCCAGGATCATATTTAAATAGGCCCTAAAAGCAATTTATAATAAATTGCATCTAAATGATTGGATAGACTCTATAAAAGCAGTCTTACAACTGCATAGAACTAGTATTCTTTTTACAAGTGCTGACACCCTGTATTCTCATTGCCAGCATACCTATTCCAGCCAACTTACAGACAAGGGAAAGCTGCTTAAAATTACTATGTGGTGAGTGTGTTTATAGAGAATGGATTTTCCTTTATAGGTAGATTTTATCCCAGAACCTTGACTTAGATGATTACCATTACAATGAGTAGAAGTCGGTGGAAGCACCAGACGACAGTGCCTAGAACTCACCCAAAGCCAAACCCTTCCATTCTGCACTCAAATTAAAAGTATCAATCATGAATAATGAATATTGTCTGCCATTGCATCCAAAGCTAGATTGAATTACCAGCACTCTCTACTTGAGTCTTGATGAGTAAAATTGTCTCGTGTTAGACAGAGTACAATAGTCTGGCATTTTCCCATTGAGTCGCATTGCGCCCTGATGCGCCCCACTATATTATTTTACTCTGTCTAACGGCAGATTATGTTACTCTGTCTAACGCCAGACGATTTTACTCGTCATGTGGAGAGCACTGGCACTTAATGACATTAATAAAATAAGGAAGTAGTGTCGACACATAAGGATACTATGCAACTTAATGGGTCACTTAGACAGATGGCCAGATTGACCCCATTAATTAACCACCAGCATTTTCTTCCCACTCACAAATAAATTGTCTGGCATAAGACAGGAATACAATAAAGTAGGGTGCAATGCAACTTAATGGGTTAAAAATTTGAAATTTTGCCTGTGGGACAATGATTTCTGGGTTAGCATATATAACAGTCACTTCACCTATGGGAGGAACCATAGTGAATCAAATTTTTCCTACAAAAACAAATAAATAATTTTTCTGTAATCATTCATTGTGTAGGATCAGATGCGTTTACAACGTGATAAAGAATTTTTCAGCAGCAAAATCCTTTAGATGCTTCTTAAAATGTAAGGGTGATGCTTGTTGGTATTTGTGATTTAATTAACATGCTATTGGCTCATTCCAGAAAACTTTCATACATTCATATATGGTTATGATTTCACCTCAGTTGTATGTGAGAGGAGTGCTACTTGTTTAACTCATTGAGTGACAGCACTGACCAGTAAAATCATCTGACATTAGACAGAGTAAAACAATAAAGTTGTGGCACAATGCAGCTTATGTCATACACCACAAGCTTTCTAGCTTGTGTCCGGCCTAGTGTAATATCCAGTTAACACCCCACAAATTGTTGTGCACTGCTTAAGTTACCATAACAAGTTTACAAGGGTCATTGACAGATTGTTTGGTTAGCCCACTAATTAATGCCCCTGACTTTATTATAAAAAAATCTGTTCATTTTGCTTTGAAGGTCTGCATGGGAATTCAACAGTGCTATAATGTGGAGTGAAAACATCAATTCAGACAAAGGGACAACTATTTATGGTAAAATAAAACATTGGACAATATATGGTATATATTTATAATAATAAAACTTTTTATGTTTATCTTAATATAACTAAGTTTTGAAGTGGCTTGAACTTGAAATCAGGAAATGCAGGACCAATTCCTTTTATAATGGTATATTTTGAATATGTAGTAAGGTTCAACATTATAATAATTGAGTATTGACAAGATTTAACTTTGGTGAACATGTGCAATGTGTTTACAGTCTTGCCAATAGAAGCGTTCCGAAAAATGTTGACTAGTGCATTTCCTAACTTCGAGGAGTTCCTCAATCTCGTACCCAGATAAAATGCCTGTGCGCGGGCTAGGATGGCATTGGCTCTGGGGAAATTAACAACCGGAACCCCTAAATTTAGAGGTTCCGGTTCTTTGTCGGCATGCACGATTGATAAACGTTAACCAATCACAGCACAGGAAAAATTCAATTTCCCCAGAGCCAAAGCCATCCTAGCCCGCGCACAGGCATTGCTCTGGGTACGAGATTGGGAGTTCCTCTGAACAATTCCTCAACAATTTGATAAGTTCCTTAAAAAGTTCCTAACTTCCTGTTACATTGACCAATCAAATCTTATGTTTTATTTTTGAGCAATCCGATTGGTCAATGAAACAGGAAGTTAGGAACTTTTTAAGGAACTTGTCAAATTGTTGAGGAGTTGTTCATTGGAACTTCTCCAAGTTAGGAAATGAACTGGTCAAAATTTTTCGGAATGCTTCCATTGGCACGACTAACTTTTAAGTAAATATATTATTTTTAAACCATTTTCAGTGACTGTTTCATTTTAATATGGTAGATATTTAATAATTATATTTTTGTGTAGAATTTCCAAAGAATAATTTTACACAAAAAAGTGTAGTTCTAGATGCATTTCAGTTGCAGCAATTTACCATTATTTTTGTGTAGCATTTACACAACCAATGTGTAAAGTGCAATTTTACACAAAATTATGTGTTGCTGTGGATGCATTTTAGTTGTGTAAATTCACCGATATTTTTGTGTAAATTTACCGATACTTTTGTGTAATGTTTACACAACCAATGTGTAAAGTGGAATTTTACACAAAATTATGTGTTGCTGTGGATGCATTTTAGTTGTGTAAATTCACCGATATTTTTGTGTAAATTTACCGATATTTTTGTGTAATGTTTACACAACCAATGTGTAAAGTGGAATTTTACACAAAATTATGTGTTGCTGTGGATGCATTTCCATTGTGTAAATTTACCGATATTTTTGTGTAATGTTTACACAAACAATATGTAAATTTACCGACATTTCTTAGTAACTTTACTCATATAAATGTGTTGCTGTGGATGCAAATTTTACTCACGTTTTTGTGTAAAATGTACACATAATTCTTTCAGTGTACCTTGAAGCTACATATACAAAGCTTTTCTGCTCTGGTATTTTACATCTTTAGTCACATTTAATGTGGTGTTGAAATTGTAAAAAGGAGCATGTCTTTACTCAACTTTAAGCAAAGGTGTTTTGAAACTTTATTTACCTTTAATCACATTTAATATGTGTTGAAATTGTGGAAAGGTACCTGTACATGCCTTTACTCAACTTTATGAAAAGGTGTTTTGTATCTTTATTTAACCTTTAATCACATTTAATGTGGTGTTGAAACTGTGAAAAGGTACATGTCTTTACTCAACTTTAAGCAAAGGTGTTTTGTATGTTTATTTAACCTTAAAACACATTTAATGTCGTACGAAAAGAATAGAAAAGAAACGTGTATTGTCTATTTGACGTTTCCATTTTCCATTTAAATACCTATAGTATTGTTTAACCATTAATGGTTAAACATTAATGGTTAAACAAACTATTCAAAATCGCAAATGCAAATGTCAAATAATAATAGTTACAGTTATAAGCCAAGTTTTAGATATTTGCGTTAATAAATTGTACGTGCAGGTAAGATGATCAGTAAGGCAAAAGTAATCCCATTCATAAATCTCTCTGGCGTTTCCCAGATTTGAACGTAATAGCAAACAAGCTGCTCCAATGGCGAGTTTAATAGCAAAGCAGGAAGTAATGTCTCCAAGGACAAAAAAAATAAATTTCAGCACATATAATTTTTTCTTCAATTTTATATTTACCATATCGATAACATAAAAATCTGCCATGCAGAATAAATGCATATCGTATAAACAGTGTAAATTACGCAAACTCAATAATTTGATTATCGAATTATCACGTGCAGAATGAAAACCCACGAATAAAAACCTTTCAATCTAACATTTCTATTTCAGTAGGATTTTCAGTAGCATTTCTATTTAAGAAGCCATGCAGGTTCACAACAAATATATAAAGCACTATTAATACATTAGAACATGGAAAACTTTGGGTGATATATCGTGGTTCTTTACTATACTGAAAAACTAAAGCAATCAGAGTCATGATCATTTAAAATGTAACAGAGTCATTCAGCGAAGAGCCACTAGGGATAATGACTGGGCACTCTCATCAACAACATTATCATCCTCGTTCTTAGCTGCCCACTCCGGAAAGTCGTTTGGCTTAGGTCGAAGGGAGGGCTGTCCATCCTCGCGAGGAACAATTCTGCTCCGTACCAGTTCTGACAAAGACAAGGTGTGGAGCCTGTCTAACTTTTTCTTTGCCCTTCGTATAGAGATGGACTCTCCCAGGGTAGCCTACGAACGTTGTAACGCATAATCCTTTTTGTTGTTTCGTCGACCTCGCTTTCTTCTGAGGACGTGTACAGTAGCCTGCCCTCATAACATCGAACACTCTTGCAGTTTTCTGGGCACCCCAATTTGCCTTTTCCACGTGCTTCAGCCTGCGTGCAAGTCTCTAAAGAAAGATACAAAATAATAACAAATAAGCTTGACACTACTACAAGGTCTTAGAAAACTTATAGTACAAATGTTGACTATTGAGTTCACACAGTACAATTTTGTATCAAATGTTGATTTGATGATTGGATGACATTGCCTGGATGACTTTTCCTTCCACCGTATGCGCGTTGTTCAGACTCTGAAAGTTCTTTAAATTCTTCTTCATAATCATTTTACATACTTTTCGTCGCAGGCGACATACAGTAAGTAATTTGGGGGGGGGGGTGTTAGGTAGACTGCTTATGCATGCCACAACTTTGCTCAGCAAGAAATCCGACTTTGGAAGCCTTACAGATTCATCCACGAGGTTATCGAGGCATTACAAGCAATGAGCATAAAAATGTCATTTACTGCATGTATTTAAATTTATACATTGCTCGGGGAGACAAAGCAAAAGGTAACTTTCAAATAGAGTGTCACAAATGTCACAAACACCCAAAGACGGATGTTTTAGATTGAGCAACCCCCTTGAAATACAAAGCTAAATTAATGCCTATCAAAATTAAATGCAGTGTTATAAGTTCAAACCTCGTCCTTTATAAAATAATAAAAATTCAATCTTAAAAAATTGGTTATACTGTGTAAATTAAAGCTAAAGCTGTTAACTGATCTTCAAAGTCTTTAATCCCTTGCTGTGTGTTAATGTTGGTGGCAAATTTAAACACGCAAAATAATTTGTTCTGGATGTTCACGAGAACTTGTACCAAATCATATGTAAAAACCGCGTAAACATTTTAAAGACCATGATGTTTGTGATGTTATTCTGAGTGTATATCCACACCAGAGAAAGAATGAAAAATATGCCTGGCCACGGTGGGAATCGAACCTACGACCCTTGGAATACTAGCCCAATGCTCTGCCAACTGAGCTACGCAGTCAAGTCGGTTCGAGTATGTGATATTTCAGAACTGAGTCTAGTTCTTTCGATATCAATGCAATCTAGTAATCATGATAGCTCAGTTGGCAGAGCATTGGGCATTCCAAGGTCGTAGCTTTGATTCCCACCTTGACCAGGTCTATTTTTCAAGCTTCCCCGGTGTGGTTATACACTCAGAGTAACATTGCACACACATCATATTCACCTGAGTACATAACACCAACACAGAAAAATCATTTTAAGGACCATTCTTTAAATACCGTGCACATGCAAAGGTTGTCACATGCAATAGTCAATTCTACAATCCAAAATGCAAATATTTTTGACAAAATGCAAGCAAATGCAGATAATATTTCTGGCATGTGACATTTGACTACTGCAATACAGCATTGCTTGTGACAACATCATAAGAATTAGCTGCATATTATACTCTTTCTGTACTATGCTCAAAAGTCTTTAAATCAAATTTTGAGACATGTGCTATGTACAAGTACAGTACAATTGTCTAGCTTTAGTCATATATAGGACGATTCTCTGGTGTGAGCAAAACTAAAGTGATACCACTCTATAGACGTTGCGGTGTTTGGAGTTTTGTGACCCAACATATATCGCCTGGTAATTATTATTCAAAAATTGACAGAGTAAAGTATGGTAAAGTGATACCAGAATCCAGATACCACAGGAGTTACCGGTATAAGGTTTTAAAATATATCCATTGGGCCAAAAAAAAATGTGGGTTTCCAGTTTCCCGACCCTACCTAGCTTTTGGACGTCGAAATCCCGACCCTAAACTTTTTTATTTGATCATGCTTGTAAGTGTTTCCACTTATAGGAAAAAGTTTGTGGAAAATTGAAATTTGAGGCAATATTAGGGAAATTTATCTTTGGATGTGGAACCACTGACTAAATAAAAGGCGTTCGTTTGTTTGGAAAATTTAAAAAAAGTTAAAAAAAAAGTTAAAACCGACCTACCCTACCTAAGTTTTTATAAGAAGAAACCGGAAACCCACATATTTTTTTTTGGCCTTGGGCAAGACAATTACAAATACCATAAATACTGTGTACACCATACCTTTTATTAAAACAGTTGAGGCCCTCCATACTCATGAGCCAGTTCCTTGGAAAGCTTGGAACACGGCATGAGGCCATTCGCTAACTCCCGAAACGTTCGCTCTCTTACCGGAAATGTCCTGTTGTTGTTTTGAAAGCCGACAAACAATGACAATGCAGCGTGTAATTCGAATTTGAAGGCCATCCATTCATACCGATCACAAACCTCGGAAGATTAGACATTTGTAAGTTTCAATTCGGCATTTTTTGCAGGAAGATATTGTTAAATTCTGTTAAAGAAAAGTATATTATGTAAAAATTATCGCTCTTCCGATGTAACGTAATTTGGCGAGGATGCGACAGCCGACGTTCGCGTTATTCGAGTGATTTCTGTCAGCGTTCGTCCCTATTGGTCCAATTAACGGTCAAAGTGACCAGCCTTTTATTATTTCTTGCTGTTAATCATCATGCCAACCCCAACTATGGCCGTTAACCTCTTATCAACGCCAATCTTGGCCGGTTCTGGTTAAAATCTTTCAGGAAACACATGTAAGTGCTTTTCATTATACTATTATATAAAGATATGACGTAATAAATTAATAACACAGGATTTTCTAATGATTTTCAATATACTATTTATATAAAGATATAACGTATTAATAACACAGGGTAAGATTGGGCCGCCTGTGAGCAAGCGAACAGACAATTGTTTGACCTACCCGTGGGAGGGAGGGAGGGAAGGTAATATTTGTGCTGCAATATGTAAACAAAGCGCGCGCGCGGGAATTTGCACTTGATCACCAGCAAGCAAGGGCGGAAAAACTCAAGAAATAATATGCTTTTTCTCTGTTTCGTCTGGTCGTATGAGCTTACGTAAAGTCGGTTGAAATGGCGCATTTTAACACGACATTCCACACAGCGAGTGGTGCACTTGCTAATGGTGGGATACGTCACGATCTGGGAGAAATCTCAGTGCAACCAGCGAGACAGAGCGAGCATATACTTTCGAAGCTAGGTCGGCTTTCCAAACCGAACACGATCGAGGAATTCGTTGTAAAAGACAAAAAATAATTAAACAAGAAAGAGCGAGAGAGATATACAGGGATGTTTAAAAGAGATAAAAGATCTGAGAGGGAAAGAAAAATGCAGGAGAGATTTATTATCGAGCACGAAAATAGGAAGAAAATAGAAGCTAGTCGTTCGTGTACATACACAAAGAGGGGAACGTGCTGTTGACTTCTGGCGACTGTGGGACAAGAGAAAATGTTACGCAGTACGAGCAACATGTGACTAGTAAAATAGCATAAATTTATACATTCAAAACTAGTCAAAACTGTACTTCTCGTAATCCATTAGCATATTTTAAAGACAGTGTCCTATAAATACGTGAAGTATCGTATAAAGTTCCTGAAACCCGAAGCTATTATATAATATATATTTCGAATTTCCCAATTTAATACCCACACTGAAACAATTAACATGTAATACTACAGATATACTCGATAAATGTATAGTGTTCTATACTGAATTGTACAGATCAGCAGACGTAGGTAAACAATAATTGCATGTCTAGTGACTAGTGTTTCTAAGCAGGACATTATTAAAGAATTTGTCAGTGGGGGGCATCTACAAAAAGGGACCATACTATACCGATTGTGAAGAAATGATGGATGGTTTGTTGGTAACAAAAATTTGGTGTGGTATCGCATTTAATAGTAGGGAGAGGGGGGGGGGCGGTCTGGAGGTATTCTCCCCCAGAAAATATTTGTATTTTTCTATCCATATGACTGCAATTCCCTGCATTTTCTGAAACAGATTCCTGGCTATAAAGCATTACATTATGCTGTAGATAGACTGAACCTTCAGTTATGCACTTGCATAGTATGTTTATGCAGGGGTCATCCTAAGAAAATTTTAGAACTGCCCATTTCGACAAGAACAGAGTTAGTGAACATAGGCTAACTATGTGGCAGACAAGGTTCATGCATTAATCACTGCGCCAGAAACTCCCCTTCAATGAGACATTTTTGCCATGGCGTATTGGTTACCTCAATAGCTAGGAGCGTCCTAGGAACAATGATCCCTTGGAAAATTTTAAAAGTCCAGAATGGTCATTTTATGCATTTTCAGAGTGAAAGCTGGATATACTTTTGCCTTAAATATCCTGTATAGGTGCTTAATTTATAATTAATTTTCTTATAAAGCTAAAAAACTGGATTTTAGAACTGCCCATTTTAAGTTTTAGAATTACCCATTTTGCATTTAGAGCTACCCATTTTGGAAAGTGGGAGGCCTTAGGAT